CATAATATGCCAAAAAAGAGATTTAGTCAATCAATAAATCAATATTATTTGTACAGCACATTTCATCAGCAAAGCAGTTCAAAGTGTTTTTACATCATGAAAACATAAAAACGTCATGAAGACAACATAGCAACATAAGGGCTCTGCTTTTTCAGATTCAAGCTGATTTTACTCGATTTGTGCATCACTAGTAACTGAAGAACAGCAACTGGTGACTCATACAGTCATTTTCAACACCGACTTGCTCATTTTTAATCACATCAGTCTGTCTTCCATACAGTGCGGCTTTTATTAAGGTTTCCATGGCAGGCTGAAAGAGCCTCTTGGGTTATTGTGCACTCGGTTCAACCGGTATGTGCTACACAAAGTTCCACCGTCTGACACGAGTAGAAGAAGCTCCAAAACGTTGTTCTTCAAACCCGTCGGACGTCATTCAAGAGTCACTGCGGTGGCGTTGTTGCTTTTTTCCAATGTTGACCTTCCCTCCATCCCAGCTGCGATTCACGCCTCTCGGATCTTTTCCTTTGAGAGAACAAAAAAGGCGTGAAAGGCGCAATCCAAGCATGGGAGCGTTTTCATGCCGTCGCTCATCCTCCTGTCCTTCAGCTATACTTTTTTTTTTCTCTTTTTTTTTTTTTTTTTCCTGTCCTACCTTCATCTACTCTCCGTCTCCGCCATCAGTGCCTCATTTGTTCTCCAGATCTGTGAAAAGTCTGCGAGCTCGTCCTTGTTTATCTTCCCCTGGTCTGACAGCGGAAAGAAGCAAAGTTTTTCTGTGCAGTTTGTTCAGGCGTTTAAAATGAAAAGTGACAGAAAAACACCTGGAATCTCATGCAGTGTGGTCTGCCACAGTCTGGAGGGAAAAAGTGTTGGAATATGGATCGGGTTTGTGCGTGTTTATGGGAAATCTTTAATGTCTTCGGATAGATCAGACTAATAGTAAAGCAAAACACCTTTTATCGAACCATCACTTGGCTTTCTTTTCTCCCAATAGTCTGAGCAAAGGATCAGAAAACCCTTATCGTCTTCCTTGGTTTCTCTCCTCCTCTGCTGCACCGACTCTCCGTCCTCCTCACAGGTCGCTATCGGCTCAGGAGATGAGCTCTGTTGGCTCTCCGGCGGGGGAATGACTTGGCCTCTCCAATTACCCAGAAAACCCCAGATCAGAAAAATGATCCTCATTATTGACGCCTGACTCACTGAGCCGCCGAAGTGGGAGATGACGGGAGAGAACGGCAGACAACGACAAAGGAGGGAGGGAGGCGACGAGAGATTAAGCGCCGGCATGAAAAGAGAAAATTGGACAAGTTTAGGCAAGATGGATAGACAGTTAGCAGTATCTGCGCGACGGAGGGACACTGGCAAAGGTAGCAGAGGGACAGCGTAGGCGGGTAGGAAGTGTGAGTGCGTGTTGTCAGAAACTTGAAGGAACACCGTCCAGAGCAGATGGATTCTGGGATGTCATGTACGAGCGGCGAAGAAGCAGATCCGTCCTTGTCGCTTTAAATCATGAGAACTCCAGAGCATTTCGTTCAGAGCATGAATCTCGGAGCTTCATGGTGTTGTGTAGCGCAATGGTCGGGTTTGGGTCATTTCCTGGCTTGTGTGGAACATTTAATAAGGCTGCAGTACATAAAGATCAGAGAAAATCAAAGGAGGATGCAGAAAGTTGTGTTAATCTACTTAGAATAGTCTAAATAAACGAGTAGAGAGTTTAACCTGTTGAGGAAATGAAGAAAGTGAGTGGGCTGTAGCAGCTAATCAGATTGTAACAAGCGCAGCGCACAGAACGCGCTCACGCCTCCATCAATCAATCATCTCAGATGATTTGCACTTGACACATCCAACTTATCGCTGGTTGTGGTTACGACAAAGGACAAGATGGCGCTGGAAGGTGTTAAACAAAAACTACAAACAGCAGAAAACTGCAAACAGTAGAAGAAGTTAAACTGGTTACTATTAAATGGTCGCTCAGGTGAGTTTCACGCAGAACTCTAAATTCCCATTATTTGCCATCCCTGATTGGCCAACCAATCACATTATGCTTAACGTCAGAGTAGCGTCTCACACGGTAAATGTTGTCATTGTGCTGTACGCAGAGTATCTGACCCTGTCCTTGCCTCTCCTCTTCAGGTATGCGCATCCTGGTGACCCTGCTGCTGGACACGCTGCCCATGCTGGGTAATGTGCTGCTGCTCTGCTTCTTTGTCTTCTTCATCTTCGGGATCGTTGGCGTCCAGCTGTGGGCCGGCCTGCTCAGAAACCGCTGCTTCGTCAAAGACAACTTCTCCTTGTGAGTTCGGCTCTCCGTGTGTGTATTTGTGTCATTTATTGTGGACAAAAAAAACTCTGGGGTGCGGGGGGGGTTAGGTTGGACTGTGGGTGTAAACTTAAAATATGTTTTATTCATTGGGAGGGTTAGGGAATGTGTTGTTTAAAACTGTTTTTCAGACTTCACAACAACCTGTCAACATGTTGCACCGTACCTGTGCAAAAATAATTTCCAAACAAATCCTCAGTTTTATCTGCAGAAAACACAGCTATTGTTAAAATGTTTTGGCAAAGTCTCAGAGCCATTTTTCCATTTTTTTACACCGGAGCTCTGATTGTAATTATTTTCAGGCGCCACTGTCTGGCATTTAATCAAAGTCCACAGACTCCAAACTTTATTCTGATGGTTGGAACCACAGATTATGGTGATGGTAAGGAGGCATTTCAAGCCCAAATCCTTGGAGCTCGTCATCAATGATAAGTAGGAATAAGTAAAAATCTCGTCTGCAATTATAAAATGAGTTTGGTTGCTGTGATGTCAAAAAAAAAAAAAAAATTTCATTGATTTTGAAAATGAAAGGTATAAAACATTTTCTTGGTTGAATAAAATTAAAATGAACTCTGAATGTGCAAAAGATGTGAATAAATTTGGCTTAATTTCCTACACAGTCAAAACAGGAACCGTAGGAAGCAGTTAAAACGTTACCCCGTAATCATCCAAATATCAGCCGCGTCATTGTTAAATTCACAGTGTTCAGAGCGTGTGGAAATGAAAGGTATAAAAATGTAGCGCCTTATACTCTGGAAATTACGGTAAACACAGTTGGATCGTGTCTTGGAAATACTAGAACCCACTGGCAACACTAACAAGCACTGAGAGCAGTAAGGCATTGGAAACCATTGCAGACTGAAGCAACCTCCACCACCACCATGATTTCAGGGCACTTTTTGCACGGAAACCAAAAAGTTCACATTTTGAATGGTTTCTTCAACATTTCTGCTTTCTCCCCTCAAATAATATAAATGGAAGTCCGTTGCGCAATGTGAAAAAGTTCAAAGGGACGACTTCTGCAAAGCCTCTACGACTTGTTGCTTCATCGCTAGAGCCCCATTGAATTGGCCAGTTGAAAGAAAGTCTGCGGGACGCCAAAGTAACTTCATCCTTCTTTCAAACTGGGTCACGCGCCACCGTCAGCGAGGCTTGCGACTCTGACGCCTCATCGCCGTGATGAATGGAGGACCGAGACAGGTTCTGGAATAATAAAAATGGCCCTGGATCGTCTGTGCTCCTGTATTTGGGAACATTGGTACCCATAACTTATTCATGTTGCCTGAGTCATCTAGGGATCATTACTCTCTAAGGGATTTATGACACCTCACATCTGTAATTTAAGTTCATGCATTATGCCTTCGGTGCGCAGACATCATTTCTGTCGTCACTGTCGGTTCTTGCGACCGGCTAGCGTTCCCTGGAAGACCTGCGCCTTGTAAAAGGCGCCAGACTTTACTAACGGGTCTGCTTTACAGGCGGCTTTCACGCTTCGCTTCGCGGCACTCCATCACGTCGCCAAAAGCTTCTCGGCAAACACCCGACACATTCATGACCTCCTTTTTCATGCTGATTAGGAGCATTTCAGATCGCCGGTAGAGAGCCGCGTCCCTCCCTGCGCATCAAGCCGTGATGAACGGACACGGGGCTCATCAGCCCCGTAAGTGGCTCTGGCAGATCTTCTCGACGTGTGAAGCAGCTTTTAAGGAAGAGAGTGAGAAGTGATCCTGAAGTGGAAAACAGATTGGTCTGATCTCCCCTCCCCACGAAAAAAAAAAAAAAAAAGTGTGACTGCGTTTTGCAATTAATAGAAGCTGCCAGCTGAAGGTGTGCTGACAGATGAGCCAGATATAACACAAACGCCAGACACGTTCCCTCTCTTCCAGATGGAGGAGTGCTATGTAGCAGATATGCCAAGAGGTGCTATGGCAGGCGTGTGTGTGTGTTCGGATCCAAATCCCCTCAAAAGACATAAGGGTCTCTGCAGGTATTTGGCCCCGACGGCCTGACATAATCTAAAACTAATAACGGTTTACGTGGCTTTGTTCTTAGATGTGCTAATCGGCAAGAGAAAAAAATGCAGTTAAGACATTTTCAGGTTGGAAGTGTGTCTAACCTGCAAAGAAGAGGACATAGTTTGACTACAGCTCCTGTAGCGTCTTTTACCTCTATAGGAGTCACATTTGACTCATCATTAGACTTTGAGTCACATTTCCTGTTGTTTTCCTATAGGATACATTTCCTTTTAATGGTGCCAGTTGATGCTTGGCAGCTGATGAGACTCGCCATGCTGTCCATAATGGGTGATGAAATACCTTAGAAATACCTTTCCTTTAGTTTTTTCATTAATAAAAATCATAAACTTTGTTGAATCTGCAATGAAAATGGTCCAGCCCAAAGTTTCAATTATCCATATATGGACATAGCTTCCTGGTGATTTTACACTCCAAAGTCCCATTCTGTAAGATCTCCTTACGCCACTCTGAGACATTTTTTTTTTTTTTTAATATTGCGTCTCCACCCTCAGAAAACACAAAAATTGAAAGTGGAAAAACAAAAAACGACTTGGTTCTAAATAATATACAGTCATATTCGATAAATACTTTAATTAAACCCAAATTTCTGTATTAAATATTGTTAAATCATATGAAATGATGTTTTTAATGGTGTGGTGTATACTCTTATTCTAAATGTCATGTTTTCATTACCTGTAAGTGGAAAAATCTTCATAATTACAGAAATTAAAGCATCTATCTGTGAGTAAAGTAATCTATATAATGTGTTTCATTTAGCGATAAGGTTCCTGAAAATAAATGGACTTTTCAGTAATACTTAAATTAACATGCAGGTTCTGTAACTCAAAAGCTTGACCAGCTCTTTCCACATTGATGTAGATTCTCAGTCAGACGTGGCAACTTGACTTCTCTTCTTACTCCTTGAAAACTCTTCAACTTAACATTGTCTTTGGTTGGAGAGCCACGAAAAAACAGGCGGCGAACAACAATCAGATGCTTTCCCCTGTGTCGTCTTTTATGTCAAGGCGTGCCTGTCAGTAACCTGTGCCACTCGTCTCCCTTCTGCCTTCCGCAAAGCCCTCTGTCTGTGGAGCTCGGCAAGTACTACCACACGGAGAACGACGACGAGAACCCCTTCATCTGCTCCATGCCCCGAGACAACGGCATGAGGGACTGCGGCTCCATCCCCAAGCTGTACGACGAGGCGGGCCAGCAGTGCAGTCTGGACATCGACTCCTACAACAGCACAGACAACACCACCTGCGTCAACTGGAACCAGTACTACACCAACTGCTCCGCCGGCCTCATCAACCCCTTCAAGGGGGCCATCAACTTCGACAACATCTGCTATGCGTGGATAGCCATCTTTCAGGTAGGGGGGCCGACGAGTCCTGAGAGTTATGAGTGAATAACCAGGTTTTGAAACATTTTGGGAAGCTCAACAGTTGGTTCGGCGGATGGAACGGTTCTCTAATACAAAGCCTAAATGTGGTCAATGCATCAGAGGAACAGGACTTTGTCACAAAACAGGGGAGACTCTACTCTTGTTTGTTGTCCTTGCATTACCTGACAGGTCTTATGTTGGACTGTTGATCTGATTTAGTTTGGTACCAGGAGGTTATTTAAGAGGACAAAAGCCATATTGAAGATTGCATCAAAAGTCTGGTTTTGTGTCAAAGACTCTGAGATGAAACTAAAGGTTAACACTAGAAAAAAAAATCACAGAAAATGTGCCCTTTTTAAAAAAATCTCTTCTTAGATTTTCTGTTCAAAGTCATTTGAATTGCCTTGTTGCTGAAAATGACCTTACCTTTCTGCCATTGTTGTCTTCGCTGCCTCTGTCCCCCTTTTCGTAGGTGATCACTCTGGAGGGCTGGGTGGACATCATGTACTTTGTGATGGACGCTCACTCCTTCTACAACTTCATCTACTTCATCCTGCTTATCATTGTAAGTCCTACTTGTTGGTGACCCTCAGCTGCTCATAAGTTTACACACCTCTGCATATTTCCTTTGTTTGATGACAACTCATTTTGTTATCAAACTATTATGTTGTCTCCTTTTAAATCAAAACTACCAAAATGACCCTAATTAAAATTGTGTGTAACCTGGAAGTGTTGACCTTGTAGCAATCTTAATTTAACACACATTAGCTCAAATGACTAGTAAAGGGCTTCTCCTGGGATCTGTTTACTTGTAATAAGTGTGGACACATGAGAAGTCGATCGGCTCTGGCTTCCTAACAGATCACTCCGTTTTTCTTTTTCGTCCACTGCTCCACAGATGTTGCTGGACTCTGATTCATTTGGAAAAGCTAAAGCCATTTACAAAAGTAGTTAACTTTTGGATAGAAAAACATCCAAGCAACTGAAAATGCCAATCAGTAGTATTTAAACTCTTAATTAAGTAGTGGGAAGTGAGGGGCACAGCTGACATTAAGGAAAAGTCAGATGGGCTAACAAGAAGTATTTCTCCACAAGGAAATGATTCAGAGAGCTAACATGTGTCTTGCAGAACTCTGAAACACTGGGAGGAAATATGGGAGGCAGGGTTGAGTTGAGAGAATGAAAATGTCACCATGCCATGGAAACGTAGTAATCTTCTGACCCCAAATGGCACAAAAACGGGCATCAAAACTTTAACGGGACCACAGTTTAACTTTATGGCCACAACCATCAGCTCTACATTTGGAGAAAAGCCAACAGTTGATCTTTAGGGAATGTATGAGCTACAAACAACAGGAGGCTTGAATCACTGTCACAAAAACAATTGCAGACAGAGTTAAGGCGCCTCTTGGCCGTTTTGACATTTTTGTTCTCAGTGGACCAATGCAAGGAGGGGAGGTAGAAGTGAGCCAGCTGATGCTACGGGCCTTAACTTTTAAAAACAGTAAGTGATTGTCCCGTGTCAGCTGTCTTGTATCAGGGCGAGTCGGCTTCGCAGGTTGAAGAAGTGATAATAAAGTTGTTTGTGTGACCAGCCAGACACAGAAAGCCAAAACATAAGACTGAATCATTTCCAGTGAGAAGAAGAAGAAGGTTACAAAACATAATTGACACTGGAAGCATTTACTCGACCATCAACAGGATCGCCACACTGGTTTTGTCCGCCATTATTTTTAGACTTAAGTTGCAAATTTTATAGTTAGAGTGTGGCATTCTGGCCATCCTTGTGGGGTTTTTATTTTTTTTGTGAAAGAGGCTTTAGTCAAAATTGTTGGCAAAATGAATCCTCTGACATTGACTGGAAGAAAATTTGTACCGATTGGGGCAGAAGATCTTCCTGGAGGTCCCAACGTAAAATCAATCAAAACCTTGAAAGAAAGTGGATCTGTCATTTGTTACAGCAGGAAAAGGTGAAGTTTATGGAATGGCCGTTATAGTCTCCTAACCTCAGTATCTCAGTCTTATGTTCACCCCTTCAAATAAAGTGCTACTGTTTATCATTTAAAAATAGCTTCCATACTATTTGAGGCGTTACTCAACCAGTAAACATGAATACTATGATTTATATTTTGTGCAAAATGGCCAAAAAGAAAGTTTGAGAATCTGTGAAGTCATAGATATAAATGCGTGTAACATGGGTATTAACAGATGACAGGAACAATGGGTGGACAACCACAGACAATGCCCAAATAACAATGCCATCTATCTCTGTTCTTCCTTAGATCGGCTCATTCTTCATGATTAACCTGTGCCTGGTGGTCATCGCAACTCAGTTCTCGGAGACCAAGCAGCGGGAGAGCCAGCTGATGAAGGAGCAACGAGTGCGCTTCATGTCCAATGCCAGCACTCTGGCCTCCCTGTCCGAGCCGGGATCCTGCTACGATGAGCTGCTGAAGTACCTGGTCCACATCATCCGGAAGGGAGCCAAGCAAGTGGCTCACGTCTGCAGGTTTTTGGCCCGCCGCGCAGGACTTAACATCGCCTCCTCGCCGCCAGCTACAGAGCCCACACATAGCCAGAGGCAGAGGAGAAGAAGAAAATCCTCCAGGCAGGGGTCTATGTCGGTTCACCACATGGTGCACCATCATCATTACCTCCACCATCACTACCATCTTGGCAATGGCAGCATCCGGGAGGGAGGGAGCACGAGGTGTCTGGAGGGGAGAGACGTGGAGGCCGGGCCTCCCAAAGCAAGCACAAGCGTTGTGCCACTTGGCTTGGCACCGCCGACCTCTTTGATAGCCGCAACCTCCGACTCAAACCTCGCCGTGTTGGGAAACCTGACCTCTGGAGCCGGCGACTCGTCCTCGGGTTGCGGCGTGCTCAGAGGAGAACCATCTCACTGCACTTTGTTTCCCACCAACCGGGGAACGAATCCAGTGGCCTTCCTGGCTCCAACTCCCACGTCCAGAACCATGAAGAGGAACTCTGTACCGTTTGCTGCTCCGGGGCCGAAGAACTACCCCACCCTCCAGGCCCGAGCCCTGGCAGAGTCCAGGAGAGGGAGCATCACCGCCAGCACGCTAACAAATCTGAGTTACAATCTCAATATCCCACCAATGCATCTGGACAGACGGCCATCCAGCCTGGTGGACACACACACTCCAACAGGTAAACACATGGAGAACTATATGTGTGGTAACTAGACTATGATTTGTTTTAGAAGTATGAAGGTCTACAAGGTATTAAACACTAGCGCCAGCTTTCTTTCTTTTATTATATCTATTAGCTTTTTCTGTGCATGGTTATTGCACTCGGACTGAGCTAGGAAAGTGCTAAACAAGCTAAAGGATCGTGCTAAAGTGAGGTATTAGTCATGCAGTACTCTGGGTTTTTCTGCATGGAATTTTCATGTTCTTCTGTCTGGGTACTCCAGCTTCATCCCACAGTCCAGAAACATGACATGGTTAATTGGTCTCTCTAAATTGTACTTAGGTGAGGTGTGTATGCGTGCATGTTTTTTGTCCTGTGTGTTTGTCTGTTGCGCTGAGATGAACTGGCGATCTGTCCAGGATGTACGCCACCTCTCTCCTAATGACCACTGGAGATGGGCAACAGACCCTCCCTCCCAACTTTGCCAGGCTATAAAGGTGGTAGATTGAGCCTATAAAGTCTGTACAGTATGATTTTATGTCATTTCTCATTTGGCTGCAGCTCAGCTCTCCTGCCAATTGTCGGCTCGTGAGCTCATCACTATGGATGCAGCTGGTCTGACTATGGACCCTGAGACCTGCCCTGATTGCGCAAAGGCACTGGCCCATGAGTTGGAGGGTTTCACCGAGGGCAACGAGACGCCAGGTGACTCGGACAGCGACGGCGTGTACGAGCTATCGCAAGACCACCACCACAGGGACAGGAGAGACAGCCGGCAGCCCAGGAAGAAGCGTCGGAGGTTGGGCAAGACGGCTGCCAAAGTCGTCCACTTTTGGAGGCTGGTGTGTGACACCTTCAGGAAGATTGTGGATAGCAAATACTTTGGTCGGGGGATTATGATCGCCATTCTGATTAACACTTTGAGCATGGGGATCGAGTACCATGAGCAGGTTAGTGCACATTTCTTTTCCTCTTTGCCTTATGAGAACTTTTTTTTAACGGTTGTACAAAGTGTACATTGGACATAGTGGCAATAGTTAGAGGGATAGGAAGGATTCCAACCATTGTCTATCTGCTTATCCTTGCCGTATTGCTGGGATCTGGTGCCTAGGGTTAGTATGCCATTCAGCCATGGCAGACGCGCTGATCATCTATCAGCCATCAGAAGAGCGTCTTATTCAGTCGTTGAAGCAACAAACCCCTAAAACCTGGGAGCGGCTGTGTGTGCAGCATTTTGAGGAAATTGTAGACATCTAGATTTTTACAGAAGAGCTGTGCATTCATCACGTTCAAATGACACACAACTTTTTCTGAATTTTGTGATGCTGTGTGACTCGAACAATGCAACCAGATGCATTGCCCGAAAAAACAAACACAGACCATTATCCTCTCTTACTACTTCCTGTTGTAGTCTTTGTCGTTTTCAGCAGTAATAGCATCCGGTTGTTGATCATGTGACCCGCGTGACTCGATAAGAGTCTCAATTGCTGTTCTGCGAAACATCTATGCCGATAGACCGCCTCATCCTCGCACAAAAAATTTTGTAACAAAAAATGAGTGTTTCAGAAATTGCCAGGTTTCCATTAGGCTAATTTATTTTTGTAATTGCAGTTCGGGCAATTTTATGGTTAATGGAAATGCAGTTATAGAC